GTCCGCTGCTCATTCAGGCCCCGAGCCCCACCGATTCCCTCAGGGTGTGACTTGTCCGTTGCGTGTAACGGCCAAGAACTCAGGTTTTGGTGACTCCCAACTCCGAGGTGCCGGGGTCTCCCTGGCGCACTGCCTTGGCGCTCTGCCCGCGGCTTCCTTGTGTTTAGGAGGAGGCGGTGGTGCCTGCTGCGCGGAGTTTTTGTGTCTTCTCCTGAAGTGTCTATGATGATTTGGTGGAATGTTGTACTGGAATCCCAGAAAAGTTCTTGGTAGATATTTTGCTTGGTAAATTTGCTTTAAATTAAGTCAGTATATTCTTTAGTAAGATTGTAAATATGTTCATATCCATTAAGTGAAATTTATATGAAAGTACTAAGCATAGTTGACCCTTGAACAGCATGGGTTTGAGCTGTACAGATCCACTTATACCCAGATTTTTTTCAATAAATACATTGGGAGATATTTTGGAGATTTGTGACAATTTGAAAAAACGTCTTTTCCCTAGCTCACTTTATTGTAAGAATACAGTATCTGATACCTATAGCATAAGAAACATGTGTTAATCGACTTTACATTATCACTAAGGCCTTCCGGTCCACAGCTATTAGTGAAGTTTTGGGGAAATCAGAAGTTTATTGGAGGAGTTAAAACCTCGGATTTTCGACCGTGTGGGGTATCAGTACTCCCACCCCCATATTGTTCATGGGTTGACTGTAATTGTACAGTTCGCATGACCCAGTTTTCAGTGATCGATAATGTAAGTAGCAAGCTGTCTGCTTTTAGATGGATGCTGGGGAAAGGATACTGTGTAATAGGTGGCATCCAGCTAATAATCTAGTCTGTTAATTTGGTGGTATAAAAAGATTTGTGGATAATGAATTTCCATCCTCTTGAAGATAATTTTCCAGATTCTGCACTGCTTCCGGATTTACACTGTTGCCTGGTTTTAAAGCAGGACTTTCCCCTGACAGTGTATGTTAATATTTGGAAAATTCCCCGTCAGTGGTCCAGCACCATCATGACAGCCTGTGTTCTGTCTCTGCCTTGCTAATTGTTTCCTTGGGATTATTTGGATTGTGTAGAAAGCTTTTTGCAAATCCTCTTATTACTGAAGTCATTGTTGCCAGCAGGAATAAGATTAAAGGTGCTTAAGTCTGTAGAGTTGTTTCTAATTTGTACGTGTCATTTCAGTGGCATTTTAACAGAACTCTGTCTCCTGTCCCTTCCTTCTCCCCCGGTGCTATCTCAAGTTGGGTCCGAGAAGCCAGGCCATTGGAAGAAATCTCACTTTTATCCTCCTAATTATTATGCTGGCACTCGGGAGATAATTTTTCCCTTCATGCACTGCCAATTAATATGCAAATGTACTGATAAATATTTATGTAGTGATTTAAATTATGCAGGGAGTGCTTTCAGTGTATTCTGTTAGTGAATTGTTCGTGGACTTCAAAGTGCTGGCTGCTGTGCTAACGAGGAGAGATTTGCATAAGGCCCTAATCACTCGCATACTGATTAAGCTTCATTATGGAAACTGCCAGCTGCAATCTTTGTTTCTATTTTATTACAAAAAGGGGAACTTTTCATGCTTCAGTTGCCTTGACAATGTCAGTCCTCTCTGGTAGGAGAGACTAAAACTCCTCTGAGCAACCGAAGTTTCCTTATTCAGTTCAAGATTGCTATGGTGTAACTGAAGTTGTATTTTCCTTCTCCCCCTAATCCTCTTTCCACCTCCCACCCTGGTTCTCTTAAGAACATAGCATAGATCTGTTAGAAATAGTAGTACCTTCTTTCCCCCACCCCGGAGTGCTACCTGTTTCTTCCTTGCTTTGGATTGTCTGAACCTCTAGAAGATTTCACAGCAATGCTGGACTGCAGTGACTATATTTTAGGTGGGTACGCGCACAGTTCTTTCTTACAAACTTTAATATGGAAATAGCGGCTGTGGGGTTGACTGTGCACAAGTGCTTAATCTCTTGTGCAACGAACTCTGGGGAGGGGGAAGAGGTGGATGGAGCTGGGAAGGAGGGAAGCATGTGCAAAGCTGGAGCCTACTTGAATTTGCAGTAGGTCCCTCCCTACCACTAGCTTCTGGTTCAGAGGATATTTTCAGTAAATAGTGTGGATTTTGAATTCAACTTGGAGGACATGTTTGCTTTTTGGAAATTTCTATTGAGAGCATTTCATATAGTTCTAAAACACTGTAAATCTGAAACAAGGTATAAAGTGTACCTAAATAATATGTACATATTAATAAAAGTGTTTTGCATACCTAATGTGAATGTCTGATATAAAAGCCAAAAGTGCTTAGTGAAACAGGTAGGGCTCCAGGGCAGAACTGTTCCCACAGATACTGATGCAGAGGGTAATTTCAGTAGTTACTGCAACGGGACTGTTGATCAGTTTCCAGATATTAGGAACTATTAACTCTTCAAATTTTGGTTGGTGACAGGCTTTTTTTGTTTTTAAAAATCAACTTCTGTTCCTCAGAGAACAACTTTAAGTACTGGGAAGCCTGTTCTTAAGAGTTTTCCCTATAGACAAGACTTGGGGAGGGAGACATATGGCTTGAATATGTAAGTTGTCTTTGGTGACTAAGATTTAAAATAGATTGAGGCTCTTTGGTTTTTAGACATACTATGGCTCATAGTGGCCACATGTTGTGTTTGGTTTTGTCTGTGTATAAGCAAAATTGTTGAAGCCTCTTTAGGTTAATTTGGTCAACTAGAGAGTCAGATGATATGAACTCCAGGACTTTCATATCTTTGGTTTAAAACCTTTCCAAGTGATTTTTTTTCCCTGTATGTCATTTTTCCTGCTTGAAATATTGAGGCTGCCCGCATCACTATTACAGTTGCCAAGGATAAAATGATATTTTGAAAATGTTTGACTTCTTAGGCAGAAGGAATGGCCTAAACTTAAGGTGGCAGTAACATTTGCACAACATGATTCAGACCACTTTGAAAAGGGTGAATGATTTAAAAAAACGAACTCATGTCAAGAATTCAATCCAAGAGCAACTTGTAGACTGTGTGTTAAACTCACATACAGTCAGGTGAATGTGCCCAGAGAGGAAAAAACCTGACATCAAAATAGAACTTACTTTATTTACTCTTTTACATCTGCTAAATTGGGAACTCAAGAAAGGAAAGAAAATAACCTCCTGCAAAATTTTTAGCATTATATTTTAGAATTAGAAATTATATCTCTGTTATTTTCAGTTTACTAACATTTAAAGTCTTCCCATATTTCTGGTTTATCAGAATATTTATTTGTGTGTGTTTAATTCTGTTAAATGTCTTTGACACACCTGACAATTCATAGAAAATGCTTAGATTTACATAGAATATATGTGATACAGTCTTTAATTTATAGATGTGGAAATTAGGGTGTGAATTGGGCAAGGTCAGGCTGATGACATGTTAAGAATTATGCCTACTTCTTTATGGTATGTGGAAAAATTGTTACCCTTTTTATGGATGCTAACTGGTTCATCATTTTTCCCACTGCTTTGAAAGCATATTAGGAAGGAAGTGTTGAGCAGCATGCATGCTTAATGGTATATTCTATTGCATTTGTTGAGAAGTTTGTGGACTTTCATAAGATTTTGGTTAAGTCATTCAGAAAGCTGATTTTTCCTTAGTTGTACACCTGTTCCTTTCAAATCTTAGTATGCTTTCAGGTGGTATTTAAATTTTTCTGGACAGTAAAGGAAAGGAAGTTGTAAAACCACCCTCATTTATGACCACAGATGTATGAATATTGTAGAACTGCCTAAGCCCATAAGACAAGCATCTGTTTCAAAACTATATTAGAAAAGCCATAACCCAACTTCCGGGTTGGAAATAAAATTTATGGGAGGCCTTCTCACCTCTTAGTGCATTTGGATAATGTGACTGGATAATTTGGTTGGGACTTAATAATGATTGTTTTGATTTCCTAGTTAAACGTTTAAGCAGATGACAAAATGTGCCCTTCAGTCAAAAAATTAAAATTAAAAATAATTTAAGTATTTATCTCTATTAATAATTATAGAGAAGTGGTCTTAACCTGGTGGAAAAGGCAGAACTTGATTGGTAGTAAACATGGTTGATTATAAATGTGCTAAGCTTGAGTTTATAATAGAAGTAGAATACGATTAAGTGTATATTTAGGTTTTACCTTTCAAAGAGGTAGGAAAGAAGCTGGCTTGTTCTTTTCTCTTGCATATCTTCTGGGATACCTACTATCTAATGCTTGATGGAAACTCTATTATGAAAACCTCTCCATTAAACAGATAACCATAAAAAAAAGAAACGCATGTCAGCAGGTTCATTTGGGGTATCAATGTGATATAATTATTAAGTTGTAGTTGTGATTCAGTTTCAAAACTATTAGATATATCTGTAATGTCTTGTGGTACAACTACTTGTACTGGTTTCTGAGTGAGGTGTGATTCAACGTATTCTCACTTTGACACATTTGGTTTTGGGGAGGGGACTAAATATGGAGATATTTTTCTTAGACATCCTTTCTTTTTATTCTGCTACGTTGAGTTACTGTACAGTCTATTAAGATTACCAATGGATTGTTTTGGTTATAATTAATGAATATCTTTACTTACAGAAAAAGAAACTTTATTTGGAAATAACATATTTTACTTTGTGAGGTACTTCCCTACCAGCTTTGTTCTATAATTCTGTGCTTCATATTAAGAAGCATTTACTCCTTTTACATATAAGGCTCTTTCTTAATATTTTTGTTTGATTAGATTTCTGTTACTGTTCTTGAAAGAATCTTAAAATTCTTCACAAAGACAATTTTTCTGTGACTCATTTCAGGGTTAAGGATTCCTGAATTTATTTCAGATAAACTTTTATTGCAATTTCCCGTATTTGCGTGCTGACACTCTCCTTGAACTGCAGAACGTTAGTCAATGTTAACCCTTTTCTTTGCCACACTTCTGCCTCCCTAACCACATCTCCAATTTTTTAAAAACCGTATTCACTTCTGATTTATTGTAGACTCAAGAATGAACAATCCGTCAGAAACAAGTAAACCATCTATGGAGAGTGGAGATGGCAACGCAGGTAAGAGAGCATTCTCAGGTCCGGTCTTAAACTTAGATCTAACAGAAATAAAAGGAAAACCTTGGCACGTACATGTGACCCATATTTGGCAAATAAAGACCAATTTGAGTATTGTGTTAAGTACAATTCAGTGCTCGCAGGAACTGGGATTACCCCTGTTTGAGATGATCTTCCTTCTGCAGATTGCTGCTTCTTGTCGCCACCTGTCAGGGAAATATAGGGTGGTTGGGAGATGAGTTCTTTGGGTCAGATAGTTCTGGGTTTGAATTACAGATGTGCTGCTTATTAGCTGTGTGACTTAGGCAATTTCCCCAGTCTTTTTGAGACTTAATTTATTCACCTATAAAATGGGGATATTTCACAGGTCATTGTTTATATTAAAGGAAACATGTGCCAGCTACACAGTTACCCTTCAGTAAAAAGTTGCTCTTGTTACTGGTATTAATCAAAATATAAACTTACCCACCCCACAGTCAATATAAGTTATGTTGAAGTTATGATAGTGTTTTAGTAGATAGTTAAAAAACACACCTATTTCTAATACATCCTTTGATTTGGTTCAAAAAATTTTTTTAATTTGGACCTGATTAAACCCCTTATCAGGAGAAACTTAATACCATGTAAGTGAGAAAACTGAGGCCCTGTGGGAGAAAGAAAGGGAAGTCCATAAAGAATAGATTGTCCCCACAGCCCATACATACTCTGTCCGTGCATCTTTATCATCTTCCAGAGATGCTCCAGGGAATTCCCAACTTCTAGTAAAGGCTTAAATTAAAATAGCCATATAAGAAGGGATTATGGGCAGCGAGGCACAGCAAGTAATAGTTTCTGAAGTGAACTGGGTTGTTCACTTGCGGAGAGGGCTGCCTCTTTGACCCTCATTTGCAGAAAACCTAACTGGGAGTAAGAATGAGGGTCACTCTTGGAAACTGTCTTTGCTTTCCACCCCTGCTGGCCACAACACCTTTTAATTTAAAGTAGATGAGTTAAACCAATATAACAGCTTCCTGCCTACATGTCTTTCATTCTAAGCTGTCCTCTACCTGGAGATACTTGTTGATCTTTTAATCTCTGAAAGTATACTTGCCTTTCTATGTCAGACTGAGTGTGGGGCTTCCTGTTGCATTGAACATGTCTCACAAATCACTGTAACTGCGGCCAGCCAGGGAGGCGGTGGTGCCTCCTGAGAAGGGGAAGGGCAGCACTCGTCCTGTCTGGGCTGTCAGCTGCGTCTCCTTTCTGTTGTTTCCCTGTCCAGTTTGGGTCCCGTCTTCCAGTTTTCCGTACCCTGGTTGCTCTGCCAGTGCTTAGGTGTGGGACTTGCTTACAGAGGGAAACAGGGCAGTCGATCCCTTTAAAACGCTAGGGTAGAGTGAGCAGGACATCTGTGCTGAAACAATAGCTTCAGAGACGAGACGTGTGTTTCTCAGGGAAGAGAAAGAGACTCCGGTGGATTGTCCGCTGTATCGGACTCCTTTGGAATCCAGCGCCACTACAGTAAAAGTTTCAGTATCTACCATATATTAAGCATCTACATCTTTGTTTATTTTTAGCCTTTGGAGATAAGGGATATTGTTTCTTTTTTTTTATTGAGGTATATCGATTTACAATGTTATGCTCAGGTTTCACATGAGTAACACTGTGGTTACTACATTCCCCCCTATTATCAAGTCCCCCCCACATACCCCATGACAGTCACTG